ATGAATCATATACAATCTACACTTCATTTAGAGTTCTTCTGTCTTCCTATAGTAGCTAGATTTCCTTCTAAAATCACAATTAAAATCAGCTTTATAGATTTTTTTAGTTGGAATATTCCACAACCTTTTCCCTTCTTCTGTCTCCCTTGTGTGGTTTTCAGAACTACAGCTGTTTCTTTGATGGTGCATTGAAACCTTGTTTTCTAATATTGCTGTTTTCATGGCAGTTTTGAAAGCTAAGGGTGTGCTCTTGGCTTTGTGGCTTTCTTCAACGTGCCAGCTTCAGAGCATTGAAAATGGAAATACTTACTAACCAAATTTGAAGTTTGATCTTTAGATAAGGTGGATGGCAATAAATTATTAACTTATATGGTTATGCCAACCTCGTCTTGCCAATCTCTGATCATCCTATCAAGATGTATTGTGATGGCAATTGCCAGTGAAGTTCCAAAGATCAGAGTGACAAAAAGGCTTTTGCAGTGGGTTGCATTCATGTCTCCTGTTTATTGTTTTGGCTTATATTCAAGTTGTCCTGACCAAAATTAGCTAGGACAGTGGAGCTGTTGAGTTAGTTAAGGCTTGGTGCCAGCATAAAGGTAATATACTCATGAAAATACTGATTTATAGAAGAAGAGATTAATTCCTGATAAAACTATCTAGGTTGATTATGCAGTATTTATGAGTGTTTTCTACTAATTCTTCATTATGTCTTGGCATGGGCTGCAAAGATGGATCCCTTACTGGGAAGTTTCACTAAGCATTTGAACCACAATACTCAATTTTATACCAATGTGCCAAATAGTTCTATGCCAGTAAAGCCAACTTAAGTATAACAATGGGTGGCCTAGCAACCAGGAGCTTGATGGGCTTAACTAATGCCACTTCTTGGATAAATCATCTCAAAGTACCTCTTGCAGCTGGGGGTTGCATTGCTGCAGGATTAGATCTGCTTGAGCTAGGTGTTGTCCTACCCCAGCTGCCTGTTTGCTGAATTTCTGCTTTTATTTTGGTTCAAGGAGAATCTCCTGGATGCTGCTCATGTGAAATCTGTTCAGCAAGAGAATTCAGCATTTGAGGATTACCTAGAAATTTCCAGTGAGTATAGATCCATTTGTGTGATTAGTTAGTAGTGGGCTGTGGGTTTTAAAACTTGCTCTTAACTGTCTGAATGCACTGCTTTTTAATTGCTGTGTAATGGCTCTGATCCATAAAGTGCTGCATTTTTGGGAGTTTTTTATTGGAGAGAACTGAAGTGCAGGAGTTAATAAGATCCAGGTTGAAAAAATATGGAAGCAAAATTTAGGATTAAAAAAGTAACAACCTTGGTGTTTACTTTATCAGTTATTGCCTGCTAAAGTGAATCCTAGGATTACCTAGACTAATAGAATCTGGCCTTGTTTCAATGAAAAAAGGGTGACAGTGGAGAATTGCCAATAAAAACAAATGTGCTTTTCCAGAGGGGGCTAGAAGAATCTCTGAGTATTAGTGCCATTTGACACTTGCCACACAGAGACTGATCTCCCAGTTGCCCCATGGGGCTTTGTGTCAGGCTTATCTAGGGTATTTAAATCTATATCTGAAGATTCCTGTATTCCCTAATTTCTGTTTGTTTAGAATATGAAATGTGATCATAGGATGAGGTCAAATTATAGTCTAGTGAACTAAAAATGTACAGTATTGAAAGTCTGCATCAGTCATCAGTTTCTCCAAAATCTGAACTGCACTTTTAGCTCATTTCAACATAACTTTTTTCCTCCTTGTGAACTTTTTCTCTTGGTTATAATATAGCTCCAAAACCAACAAAAGGTTATTGTGATTATCTGGATTGGTGGCTTGAATGTAATTTCATCTGTAAAATAGTGAGCTTTAGAGTTCTTCTGAGTGCAGCATTATAGCAAGAGAGCACCCTCTATGGCTAAGATATTTAAATATTTGTATTTGCAAAAGGAAAAGATGGTTTCAGATTAAAATTCTTTTTCTTAGTTTGTGCATCATGAGTCTCATGTAAAATCAGGACACCCAGGTTCTGGTGCTCTTCCCAGCTCAGAAATGGACTTTGTGTGTGACCTTGATCAAATTGACCCCTCTACTTGTCTGTAAAATGGACTTTCATTAAGAAGCTCTAGATAAGTGAATTACCAGTGACTTCATTAACTACTGCAATAAAAAGATTCAGGATGCTTATATGCAAATGTAACACATGTAAACTAATGCTATGATTTAACCATGGATTTACTTCTAGAATTTGATGGTGTTGAACAAGAGAAATCTGTAGATTTTTTCAGCCATTTTGCAGCCATCATGAGGTAAAGTATTGGGGTATTTCTCAACTGAAGTGGTTATGAAGTTCTGTGTGTGCTAAGAAATGCCACTCTTCTAAAACTCAGTGACTGCCAGATCCCATAAGTGTGTCCCTAAAGCTTCCTCTCAGAACAAACTCGTGTGAGTTTTCCCCTAAAAATCTTAAAGGGTGAGGTTTCATGGGAATGTGAAATGCAATAGCTGGCACTACTGCAGCTAAAAACGTGGCTGGAGGAAAGAGCTTTTGTCTTTTCCATTTGTTAACGAGGCAGCAGAGCTGTACAAGAAGAGAAAAACTTCGTGTGATGTTCGTTCACCTCTTCAATAAAAATGCCCTCACTCAAGGTCGTGTTCTTTCCAGGGCTGGTAAGAGATGGATCCCAAAGCTCCTGCTGCCAACACTGCCACTTCTCAGAAGGGAATTCAAACCTCTAGCAGGCCAGAAAGGCTGAGCAGGAGCATGGGCTGGTGAGGGGGTGCAAGGGTTACAGTCCCAGCAGCAAAGGGTGACCCCATGTTTGCAGAAATGCACGGGCAGTTGTGCAGTTGCACTCATAAAGTGCAGTTGGTTCGAGCAAACAGTGCTTGTGTTTTGTGCTGAGCTAAATCTGGCCCTTCATAACTTGTTGAATGAGCCTGCTGTTGGTCAGGGGTGTACATACTTTTTGGTTTTGCCTAGAGCTAAAAAAAGTCAAGCTAGAAGTGTTGCTGTGAAGGACCTAATAGGCAAAGAACAGAAATTGCCAAGAAGCCCACTGGTCCAGAATTACTTCTAGGATCAGCAGTTCAAGCAATATTTTTTTTCCACAGTTTTGGTTGAAGTCACTGGGCTGAATATTTCTGTCTCTTGCAGTTGATATCCCCCAGGAACTGATAGCTGGGGGCAGAGGGTGAGGATACATCTGTGTAATTCTTGTATTTGCTGGTTCTGCTCTCTGTCAGAAATAAACTGGTAGCTCTTCTGACAGCTCTCAGGAGGTGCAGCTCCAGTGCTCCCTAGTGGTCAGTGGCACTGAATTATTTTTTGTAGTTTTGTAACAAGAACTACTTTACTGCTGGCTAAACTCAATGGTACTCAGAAGCACGTAGAGATTAACAAATATTTTTCTCTTCAGGATTTCTAGGACCTTGAGAAGTTAATATGAAATACGAATTTACAGAAGCAATGGTTTGAATCAGGCATTGAAAGTTACACCTCAATAATATTAATTATAACAACCAGTAAAATTTGACATCATCCTTTTTATTTTAAAAAGCATGAAAACAGTACAAAGAGAAGAATGAGGAACTAAGTATTAAGCAGCCGACTGACCACAGAAAATAAGCTGACCCTTATGTTCTTTAGCAGCTTTACAATAAGCAGGACTGATGATTCTCTTAAGCAATGCAACTAGCTTTATTATAAGAAGGCATAGGACAGAAGCAAGAGAGAACACATAACATTCAGAAGACTTTAATACTGCTTAAAGGCAAAACATAATATACAGAGAAACCCCTTAACCTAGTACAAAAATACTGTGCCCAGAAACTATATATTTGTTCAGGTATTTTTAAAAGATAGAAGAATACAAATGGACAAACTCAGTGACTAGTGACTGTGATTAACGTTTTTATTAAACTATAAGAGCAATGTATGTTAAAACTATTTACAGTGCATTTCAAACTACATTCTTTAAAAGACACATGCAGGTGTCTTCCATATGAATACAAAGAGGACTCAAATTCTAACTTCAGTTACATCTGTAAGGTACCTTGGGCATCAGTGGGAATAGCTGAACCAGCAAAGAGCAGGTGAGGCAGCTGTCACCAAAAGGGTAAGGGTTTGGTCCCTCTTTACAGGTAAAAAAAGGTGGATTTGACCCATTTTTTGACTTTCTATACAGCTCAACCCAGCTCCCCCTGAGGTAAATGGGAATCACAATAATGACTTTAGGTGGGCATCTGAGCATGCCAAGCTCGTGGGAGTTGGTGGGAACCAGCAATTACAGAGCATTGTCACATAAATACACATTTACAAACACTGGTACTCGGATACAAGTTCCTCTGTGGAAACAACCTTCCTCACATGGAAAAGAAACTTTCCTGGCAATTTCCATTCACCTTGCAATGACCAAGATAAAATACCCTGCTGTCACAATTTGCTGCATTTACTAAGTGTTGCTAATTACCAGGACAGATTCTGTGATGTTTCTTCTTATTATCAGAGTCCAAACCAAAACAACTCAGCCCTCATTATTTACCATACTCTGGCCAAACTCATTCTGCTATTCAAGCTTATGTTTTAAATTAGTGCAAGCCTCTGAAAAAGTCCAGCAGGGAACTGGGAAATAAAGCTGAAACCTTGTGGAATGTAAACTGCATGTAATTTGACATGAAGAAAAAACCTACAGCATCACAGAGATAAGACTGTGTACAAATACTACATTATAAATTTGCTTGGAATATAAGGTCTTTATAAAACCTTTAAAAACATGTGGATTTATTATAAGTGAGGCAATTTCTTTCCATAAAAAGTCTTTGCTATGTTCTTATGCATAACTGGAAGGGACACCAACTGGATCACTCCCCTAATTTTAAGGGTCTAAATCTGATTCTTCATAATCTTTCTGTATAATGAGTTGGAAAATCAGTTACCTGGTAAATTTGACAAACCTTAGTATGAATTAGGTAAGTGTCCTGAATTTGTCAGTTCATGCCACTGCCAGGTAAAATGTACTGGGTTGGAGTTCAAAAGATGCATGCAGTTGTCAGGGGCCGATGCATATAAACAGGCTTTGGTTTTCTCTTCTAAGGAGAAATCAGCTGATCATCAGTGAAATTAATTGTTTCCTTTTATCAGCAGCTCACTTGTACATGTGCTCTGTGAAGACTGAGTAATCGACTCTTAACTATAAACTGCTTCTAATTAAAAATTAACACCGTCTCCAAAATCAGCATTACATTATTTCCCCTCCACTCTCTTTAACTGTGTGAGATAATAGAAAACTTAGGCCTGCTACAGCTCATATTGCACGTGTGGCTAATTTCTTGGAAAAGAAAAGAAATGGTACTTACAGCCCAAGAGCCTCACTGTTATCTGGAATTAAAAGAGGTAGGGTTAATCAGTAATTTTGTGTATGTTAACATAAGTAATTTTTTTCAGAACAAACCAAGAAATAGAAGTGCACTTGAAGCATTAAACTGTGCTGTGGAAAGAGTTTGAAAGAAAACGTTTGTGTCTGAGATCAAGTAGGATACTTAGTTGTCTTCATTGAGAGGAGCATTAAGAATTTGTGGGACAAATTCTTGTACCCAGAGATTTAAATCTCACACATGACAATGGTTTCAATGCATTTAAGGCTGAACTGATAAAGTGATAAACTCCATTGCAGCTGGTTTCTTGTGTAAGCCACACTGGTTGTTCCAGCTAGACAATATAAACTGGGGATAATGTGTTTGAGAGCCGACTGAAATAATGAGATACACAGCTCACAAGGAAATAAATGTAAGATACATAGCTATAGTCCACCAGCTGGCTTGGAAAATTTTGAATTCTGAAAACAGTGAGCTTCAAGCAGCATACCTGTAGCCAGGCTAGGTTTGGGGGGATTTTTCCCCACATTGTCGCCTGCCTGCACACTGAAAGGAAGGAGCAGTTTCTGCAAGTGATTCAAACAAAGCCATGACACAGAACCAGCACAATCTGATTTTGCCTTCAGGCAGAGTGAATATTATATAAAGGCTTTGAGTTGCATGAAATACAGCTTTCTATGCTTTTAAGGTTCTTAAACCAGTAGTGTAAAGGCTTTGGTTTTGTAGAAATATATATACAGATACAGGTGTATTATTATATTTATATGTTTATTTACTCGGAACTGTATTTATATGTATGTTCCAACATTTATGGTGGAAGAGATTCTGTGGGATAAATGTGTACAGATATGTAATTAAATATATGCAAATACTTTATAGCTTTCATAATGTTCATTTTAAGTCAGACTTTAAAAAAATGTAACATCATACCCTTTTTTTTCAAGTCAAAGATATGAATCCAGCACTCCTTTGTAGCATTTATAAATTTAGTTATAATAAAGCTTTGCTGAACCCACAATATAGCAAAGAAATACTGGAATATTAATGTCAAAGTTACATCACTACACTGTGATATCATAGTTACCTGCTGTGTTGTCACCATGAGTTACTAATCTCAAACATAATAGCAAGAACACACCTTTATATACATATATTTTTTTCCTATTTATATTAAATATTTTTCTCATCAGTTAGCATAATAATTATATTTCAGTATCTCAAGCACTCAAGGGAAAGACTATACAAGGACTCTGCAAATCCTGAAGCAAAGTTTTCTATTTATCAAAAAGTACCTAAAACCTTTTTTGGTGGGGCTGTGTTGGTGGGGCAGGCTGCTGTCACCTGCATACTATGTATGCACAGAAATACACATCTGGAGTATTGCAAAATACTGCAATACAGCAGTCCTGGAATTCTTAGTGTTGAAATCCATCTTTTTTTTTTTTTTCTTTTTAATTTGTTGGGACAGAATAAGGAGAAATAGCTCTGTAGAAAAATGTTTTCAAATTCACAGCTGCAATAATTTATTATTGGTGCTCACTAGAGAAGTTTGAGATAGGACAGTGACAAATAATTTAGGGTAGCAGAAATGCTGCTGACTGTCAGAATACCTTGTTCTACATTTAAAAAAATATCAACTCTATAACTCAGTATCATCAAATACTTTGAAGTATTTGCTTCATCTTGTCTTAGCTTCTGGCAGTGTTTATCTAAATGGAAGTATTGATAAAAAGGGAAGTTTTCCCTGTCTTTCTTACCAGCTCTTCTGAGTTGGGTTGACAGTCTCCTGGGAAGAATTTATTGCAGTTTCCAACTAGAATTTCCTGGGTTATTGAGATAGAACTAAATTCCCACACTTGAAAGCGCAATACCAAATGTGCTGCTTTTGCCAAACACAACTGCTGATTTTAACTAAAAATCATTCTTGCAGATTAAAAAACCAGAACATTTAATGTGTCTCTGTGCAGCCGAAGTTACTTGTGCTGCTAATGCATTTTAGACTGCTGACATTCATCTCCTTATCCTGTCTACCTAAAGAAGAGTACCCTCCTTGTATTTCTCTTTTCAGATTTGTCCAATGTGTATATTTTCTTTAATTGGTTCCCAATTCAAAACCATTTTTGTTCATCATCTTCATTTAAATAATACACCTTTTTTTTTTTTTTACTAGTGCAAGTTAATTGATTTCTTTCTTTTCAGAATGTTAATGCCTCACATACAAATGACAGATCCCTGTAGCACTCTTGGCTATTTTTGCTTTTGGTATTTTTTTCCTATTTCTTCAAGATACTAGAATGAATCATTTTTAACTAGTGTTGAAAATGCTTTTTAAGAGATGTTAACATAAAACTTTCTTCCAAGTGGTCACAGCCATTTCATAGTAACACTGGCCTGAGGAATCAGTCATTGATGGTCACCAGGATGCTCTTCCTGCATCATTCTGATTCAGCTTTCCACCTCTTGCTGCTGCAGTCATTCTCTTCTGCCTGTGATCCAGTCTGCTGGTTAGATGATGTTCAAGTCAACTTCCAAATGAAGTTAAAACCAGCGTACAAAAACAATCCTGTTTTGTTTCCATTTCTCTGCGTGCTTCTTGCAGCTTTCTGTGGGAGCCATTCTTGCATGGCAGCCTTAAGTGGACATTTCATCAGTCTTCAAGCAGTTTCCATTTGCCATGGATTAATCAGACACCTCTACCACAAAACTCCGAGACTCTTCCCTAGTAACTCACAGGGGTCTTAGAAGTTTCTTCAGCTGGAATAACACATTTGCTAAGACATCCATTTAATATGGAAAAAACCCAAACCCTACCGGGTGCACAGATTTTGGGGCATCTCACCTCAGAGCCCAATTCTGCTTTCTGAGAGAGGTTAGCAATAGTTTATGCTGGAATAGGCTCCCCAGAGTGAGTCCCAGTCTTTCCTCTGAACCTCTGGAAAGAGAACAGGCAAGACTGCTCAATCCTTTTATAACATAACAGAGCAAGATGGGAAGAGGGAGAGAAAAGGTGCAAAATGCAGTAGTCTTTCAGATACTGGCCACAACATGATCACTAAACAACTATGTACATCTGCAAAGCAACAGGCTCTCAGGCACAGTCAGTGCCTGCACCAGTACCTTCTTGTGGGGTGGGGCAGCAAAAACCACCCCTGCAGATCTTTCTCCATCTCAGTCAGATGTTATAAAAGAAACATACTGTCTTCAGATAATCTTGGCATCTACACAGTCATGCTATATCTTGAAATGTGGAAAAAATAATACAGCAGTGACAAAACAGAAGCCAAATTCATACAGTGTTGAGCAAAATGCAGAATTCTCTTATTACTGTGTCTCCTATGTGAACTTGAGCTTGTGGTGGTGAAATCAGCATCTCAGTTCCGTTTGCCTTGGTTGCTTTCTCCATTAATCAGGTTCTCTTGCTGCTCAGCCAAGGCTTGCCATTTCTGCCTGTTTTTTCTGCAGCCATCCAGCAAAGGGGAGCAGGCCTCTGACACATCTGTTAGGGCCTGAAATAAACGGAGAACATGGACAACAGATTGCATTCAATTTTTAACTTAAAAATGGAGAGTCAAACACATCTCTTGTATTTTTTTCAGATGTCTGAACTTAGGGGAAGACTTGTAGATCATTCATTGAACTGGTTACCTAACACAAGAGCTAGGTACAATCAATTTGGACCAGGATCACTTGGTAACTGTAGATATAAGCAGCAGTGCATATTTCAGAATAAATAATTGTAGTTTTTCTGGTCTTTTCATAAAGGGAAGGTAAAGCTCTCCTCTAAAAGGAAGAAATACAGATGTTCAGGCTCTAGAACTGTGGCATTCAAGCCTGCTCAGGTGTTTTGTTAACGAGTTCTCTGTTTGTCCCATCTGTACCTTTGCAGAGACACTTTTACCTCCTGCTGGAGACGAGTTTCTGAGGCTTCAAACCAAAGGCTGCCTTATTTTCCTGACAGTTTCTACAGCACAGAAACACTTAATTTTCAGGGACAGCAGCAAGTAGCTCCCTTTTTCTATCCCCGTTACCTTTGAACTGGTGAATGTGCATTCTTTTTAGAAAAGCTTATTGTGTTGGGGGAAAAATTCAAGTTATCATCCTGTTCCTCCCACTGGAAGGTTCCTAAGGATTCACTTATCTGTTCATGTCCTTTCTTTTTCTCACCTTGGTTTCTGTACAATACTTGCTGCCGTTCAAATAAACAGACTTTCACTCTGATGCTGTACTAGTTTAAGAAAACCCCAGAAATCATTATGTTGTGTTTCACACTATATTGGACCAAGCAGCTTCTTATACAGTTCGTGACCAGAAGAAAAAAGCATTTAAGTGAATTATCTCATGCAATGCTTTGGGGTGTGATGAAAGAGAAGAAGAATGGGATGGGAACTGTTAAAATTGGGTCAATTTCCTATACATAGCATATCACATAACCTTTAGTATGACGAATTCTGAATTTTTAAAACTTGTAAACATTTTCTATCAATGCACTACCTGGATACCATTCTTTCCCTAAAGGTCAAAGCAACAGTTTTGTGACTTTCCTTGGTAAGCCAGAATATAATCCAGGGACATAACACCAATTGCAGAGAGCACACCATTTTAACTAGGTTTAAAAAGATTGTGACAAAATATATTAATCATACAAATACATAGCTAATTATAAATACTAAAATAATAATTTCTTCAACAGAATAATGAATGATACGTAGTATGAAATAAATATTTTCTAACTAAGGAGCTAGTTTTTAATTGGATTTTTATTCTAATAGTAAATCTGTGTCCAGCAGTGAGCAGCTCTGCTTTCAGATATTTGCTGTTCTTCCTTAGGCACCATACCTCATACAGCTGCAAACAAACAGCATCTATGAATCCAACTTGCATGCTGGGAATTTTGTTTTTCTTCTCTCTGTTCATTAGATCCTGCAGATAATAAGTAAACAAGCTCTGTGTTTAAATGCATTAAATAAAAAACCCAACCGAAAAAAGAGAGTCTGGAATTAAAAAACAGCACAGCAAGCTCAGCACAGCAGGCTATCATTACAGGTGTTCCATTGAAGGGAATTGGACTGCATGGCTTCCCTCAAGAGACTGGCTTTGGGTTGACAGAACCCAAATAACCAGGCAAACTTCCTGGGTTTGGATAACTGCAAATGGATACCAATTTAGGAATGTATTTCCTAGCCCATTTACTAACACTGACTTAAAGGAAATAATGCTGTCTGTTCTTCTGGTTCAAAGATAATGACACACTAATGGTGTTTTGGAACCACTAGGAAGACAGGGAAGGAGCTGGTCCTGTACTGTGGCCAGTGAGAGAAATTTTAAGGGCTGTTTCCCAAAGACAATTTGCAAGAGGTGAGTCTGCCACTTACCGTAGGTTCTATGTTGAGTTCCTTCCGCTCTTTATCTCCTTGATCAAAGAACTCTGTAGCCACAAGCTCAGCAATCTGTAACAGATTTCACTCATTGAGAGCTCTACAAGTTTGCTTGCTGCCTGCAAACAGGAGTGGTTCCTATCTCTCCTTAGGATATATCATATTAAACCTCCCCCACATTGTCAGACTCCAGCTCAGCATTCCACCACTGCCTTTGCAATAAGGACTAGGTGGTGGAAATAAACTTTAATGCAGTTTGTGTTTAGGAAATCTTAAAAATTCAGTACATACCCGTTGCTGAACTGGCCATGGTTTGCTTATGGCTGATAAGTCACAAGCAGTCATCAGCATTGCTCTGCAGAACAAACAGGAAGAAAGGGATAAATTACTCTCTGTGAAATCTATGTAGCCACCAAGTCAAGTGACTAGTAAAATAGAATATAGAATTTCAAGGAACAGAGTCAGAAAAACAAGTGAAATTAAAGCCAAAGTTATAAATCTAACTCCACATGCTATGGAACAAAGTTTCTTACACAGGTTGCACATTTAGTAGTTCAGACCCAGGGAGTTCAGTGACCTGTGTGACAATGCCAGCTTTTACTGGCCAGAGCACAGAGAGCTGCTGGGTTTAATGAAGTTCACAGCGACACAGCATGCAAAACTGGGTACCCAGTAATATTAACTCAATACTTCATTATTCTGCTTTTACTTACAAAAATAGCTCCTTTTGTGAGGGATCTTCCCAATTGAACTGCTTCTTCCTTAGAAGTTCGAAAAATTCTCCTCTCCTCCTTTAGAAGAAGTTAAAACAAAAGATTTTGCAGGATGCTGAGATCATGCTAATACCCAGCAGTGATTATCCAGCTAAAGTTTCCTCTGACTTACTTGATGTATAGTGCCAGGTCTGTGGCAAGAATGGCTTGTTTTATCATTTTCAGTGTAGCCTTGTATTCTTCAATGGAAAGGTTGCTGAGAATCTGATTTCCCTTTAAAAAAAGAGCCAAAACCAGTGCTATCAGTAAAATGGACAACAGCACACCAGTTTGCTAGTGTGTCTCTAAGTAACCAAATCATTAGGAGTTGCTTGATGATATCTGAGGTCATTGTTTTACCCTCCTTCCTCTTGCAGATTCCCTAGTTTAAAAATAAAAATTCCAGTCTTCTTGAGTAATGGCAGAAAGCTGCACAGCAGCAACATCATCACTGACTATTACAAAATAAAACTGCAAGCAGAGCAACATCAAAGCCTTCAAGTCCCTTTCATTCATTAAAATTACATTTGTCACTGGCTGTATCGCAGCTTCTCTTTCCTCTTCTTTCTCTTCCATGAAGCAGAGGAATTATAGCAGATTCCCATACCTACCCATAAACCCCTAGTAGATTAACCTATTTTCGTTTTATGAAGCAACATAAAAAGTTATTAAATATAAATAGGAGCTCAGCAACCCCTGTTAAACCAAATCACTACAGAGCTGGTGAAATGGAACTCATCTCAATTGTTTTTCCCTTTTTTAGGAAAGGATCACTACAATACAAAGGATGCCAGAAGCACCACAACCTGTGGCACAAAAGGAACCGTCCTTGGAGAGGATGGTGAAAGATAAATAAGTGGTCTTGAGAATTAGTTAATAGCATCAAACAAGAAGAATGCAGTTTTATTTGCATATTTACTAAACTTAGGTTTGGCTTCACTTTGGAATGTCAACATGAGCAGTGTTTGGTTTGGTCTCATCGGGGCTGCTTTGTGTATGTGTAGGCTGGAATGTTTTCTGGAACGAGAGGAAGGGCTGGGGTTTGTTTGGTGGTTCTTAAGAGGTCGTGAAAACGGCAGCAAAGCCTTTTGTTTCCTTTGGTCCAAGGGAGCAGGTACTCGGAAGGATGTTAGCAAGGCTTCCCTTATCAGGCAGCACTTGGAAGGCTTTGGTGGCACTCAGCAACACAACTGTGATTTCCGTGTTGCTGCATTTGCTTTCTTTACCCAAAAAGGAATAAAGAGCACTTAAGAACATATAAGGGTGGGATTCTATCCAGAAGCTAAAAATAGAAAGTAAAATAGTTTCCTTCAGCATACACAGCAATGTGGCACTCACTGGGCTATTCAGGATCATAAGGCATTGATCAAAATGATGATGCTCCATGATCGAGTGGCAATAGAGCTGAGCCAGTGGATGTTCGCTTCTGAGGAGGAAAAGGATGGAGAAATCAAATTAGACAAACGTATTAGTGATCCAGAAATAACCTCCCTTTTAACATCCTCTTTGTAGGAATACAGATAAAAAGATAATGCTGTTCCTTTGTCAGAGCACTGGCAGCTCTGGTTTTCTGCCTTCTCTACCTGTAGAGAGCAGCTGCATGCACAGAGTGAGAATATAATACAAGGTTTCACAAGGAGTGAGAGTTCCTGTAGAGCAAGCCAAGGTAACACGAAGAGCTCATTCACAAGCACAGTTTAGGAGACAGTTTTGGTTTCTGTAATATGTTCTTCAACACCTGCCTGGCATATTTAGTCATCTCAGCTCCTGTGTTTTTAAGTAATAATGCAAACCCGACAGGAAACCCACTGAAACCGATGGAAAAATTCCTGCTAAACTCAGTGCAGTATGGTGCTGGGCCCAAAATGCTGATCAAGTAATTTCTTAGTGTTAGCAACTGTACTGGTGTTTCATCACCACTATTGTCATTACCAAACTACTACAACATTGTTACCTACCCTTTGCCCAGGGTAAAATCCAAAAGAGAAACTGCTTAGAGGCCAACAGTGACATGGATTGCACTACAGGCAGTGAAAAATAGCAGAAAACCAATTGTGTAGGTACAGAACTTAAAAATACCTTAATGCAAAACCTGAAAGTACCTTAGTCTAAAAAATAGAATTTGCTGTTTGAGTAGCTTTAGTCAAAGTATAGCTTTAGTCCTCCTCCCCTCTTGAGGATTTCCAGTTTCTGCCCATTCCTTATTGAACACTACAGTTCTTGGCTTTTGCTGCTCTTAGTTTTCAACCCCTGGTCCAACATTGCACATGTCATCTCTTCAACTAAATCTGGATTCTTTTGCAAGTCTATTTTGCTGATGATCCTGGACCTATTATTCTAATTATAATTTGACCTACAAATGTTTAATCATATCAGTAGCTCTTTTGTATCATATAATTCCATGAGATTTTCTGTATGGTTAAGGACCATTCACAAGACTCAATGGCTGCAGGATTGTGTGAGTAAGTGCACAAAGGCTCAAATACAAGTCATAAGAGCAGACTCTGGGGATTTCAGAAGCACAAAAATGTGGAGAGAAAGATGGAAAGACAAACAAAAAACCCAGAAAGGGAGATTAAAGGATGCAAAGCCCTGAAGGAATATGGGCTGGCTGCCCAGCACCTCCTCTGAGACCACCACAAAAGGGGCTCGGAGCAAATGTACTCATGTGTTTCTGTAAGGAAACAAACCACAGGATGGTGCCAACACATGCTGGGTGAAATTCCCATTCAATTAAGTAGGATGTGTATTGTGTCTCCTAGAGTTCATCCTGACTGAAGAGAAAAATATGTGAGAAATCTCTTAGGTTATCTTCCCAAGTACTGCTTCAAACTAGAGCTTGCTTAGTACTCACTGGCTGGGGCTGGAAATAAATTCAGGTCCAGCTTCTGTAGAGACACTTGTGTCAAACCCCCACTCCAGGCCGAAGGGCACCCTGGCTTTCTGAGCACAGGGGTTTGGTTTTGCAGCTTTCTGTGCTTCCCACTTGGCATGTGGGATTGGAGCAAAAAGAAAATAACCCCCACATAACTACCAAAAGGCCTTCAAGCAGTTCCCTAACTTCTATGGCCAGGACCACTTCAATTTTTGAAACACTGCTGCTACAGTAAAGAAGCATACGCTGAATATCCACTCTCCCCTCTTCAAAGGAAAAAAAAAAGGCATATGTTCCTAGAAATAACAACTTTTGTATTTAGGTTTAAAAAAAGAAATTCATTGAACTGTCTATTGAGAAAGGAATTAAGCTATAGCTATTTCAGCTTTACAGCATGTGTAAATGTTAGATTTTGCTGTCTATGACACTTTCCCAGGACATTTTTGAGAGGAGATGACGCATCTCCAGATGTCTTCCAGGAAATTTATTTTTAAATAAATAAAGCAAAAAATAGCTAACTAGTTCCAATCACTGCAATGCTACAGTTACTGCTGGAATCCTCCATTACCAAGCTAGAAAAAGGTCACTCTTCTAATGTTGTGGAGTTTGGTTTTTTTCTTTACACATCAGCCAGTGTTACTCCAAACATATAAATCTGAGATGCAGGAGTTCTGATTCAGCTTACTTATTTTCTGCCTTTCAATATTCTGTCCCTTACACAAGCTTTTCCTCCCCTACTATCTTACTTTACACATAGTAAGAACAGCAGAGCACTTCTTCACAGGTCTCTTCAAAACCATTCTCCAGCTCTGCCAGAAGAAGACAGCCAGAGATGTGTGCTTGTATCTTTTGCCAATCTTTAGTCAGACCAGGATACACTGCCCCATAACACGAATCACATTAAGCCACGCTTTAAATCAACTCAAGACTCATATGTTGTATGTTATACTGGATTGGGCAGATTTGAAACTAATAATAAGTTTTAACCATGTAGCATTCTAAACAACTTAGAATTCTGGAAAAATGTGGCTAAACCAAGATAAAACAATCTGAGTTCAAAACAGTGGGAGACACCTCTGTATGAGAGGGCTGCAGATCACAGCGCTGTGTTGGCCCGGGTGAGAAGGGAGCAGCTGGCTTGGGCAGGGAGTGATCTGACAAGCCGCCCATTTCCTACGTGCTGTCCCATGGAAGCTGCAGCCTTTTGCTGTCACTTTATGGGACGTGGGGGAGGGAACTTTGGGAATGGGAGCAGGAAAATATTGTCCCTGCACAGCAATCTGCCAACTGAGGCTGTGCATCTTCGGACTCATGAATGGTTCTTGCATTTTCTGCTTTGTTCAAACCTGCTCCTTTGTGCAGCCCCACATCATCAAAGCAGTCAGGCTGTACCTAGTCTAGCTCTGTGCTTGTGTTTGTTCACTCACTTGTTTTTGTTTAACTTTCCTCAGACCCACTTACCTTTGTATGTAAGAGTTGTTCACTCCCCTGTGATCAAGATCATGGCTCAGAGTTGCTATCAGCAAAGCCAGCGTTTCCAAGTCAGTCAGTTTGCTCTGTATGCAAAGAGTAATGCCAGAAGTGAGTTGTGGATTTATTTAGTACAACGTGTTTTACATCTGCTTTCTAAATAATGAGACCTGCTCTTAGTACAGTCAAAGGACAACTCCATTTGGAAATGATAGATTTTATGTTTCTGCTAGGAACATGCATCTCTCAATGCTTGCCTTTCCCTTCAAACCAGAAAAAAATTGAGTTATGTTCAATGCTGTTCAGACTTCAGAATCTAGGACATAAAACTCAGCAGGGAGTGAATCCAGTGTAGTTAAGAATAAACAATTTATGGAAATTGCAGTGGAGACTGTCAGGATTCCAAAAATAGCAGGCAAACTATCAGGATCAGCAGAGATTGCTCGACCGCACACAGAGCAAAACTACCGTGTCCATTCCAACAGGGAAGGAAGATGGATGTCCTTCCTTTGGTCTCTTCCAGCACCTTTTGTCATTTTCATTAACGAGATAAAGTTTGTGGAGAAAAGAAATGCCTCTTCCTCATTGGCATTGGGTTTTGGCCTACAAATGGGATTTATTTATGCTCTCAGAAGTAGTATAAACCAACTAGTAACAACTGTCTGTAATGAAACTGAACAAACACATTTATTCAGAATGAACAGAAACTTGCTGTTTCCTACAAGAATATAAAACCAAAACCTAAAAACATGTTTTGGAAGAATCTAGAATCAGTATCTTATTTATTTAGAGGATCATCTAGCCCTAATCACAATGATTAGGTTGTTTCTTAAGTGTCTTTTGAAGTGAAAGGTTGAAAATTTGTTCAAAAGCATTGGAATAAGTATTTAAATATTTATTTCTATGCTTTTATATTCTGTTGTTTATCTAAAGCTGTACTCAGCTCTGCATTTGAAGTTAAAAAAAATCCTGTTGAAAAATTTAAGGAAACATCCTTAAAATGGGTCAGCCTTTTCTTTTTCACTTTTTTGACTTGCTTGTAGTATAAGCATTAACTTTAAAAAAGGACATAACCACGTAGGTGCCTCATTTGAGATATTCCTTTTGGGAACATCCCAATAACCACTTCCAGAGGATTTAACTGAAATGGGGAACAAAAAACCACGACAGCAGCTTCACAAACGAGGCCCTCATAGCCAGAAGTCTTCAGTAAAAGATTCCACTGGCAATAGCATGCAATGATGAACATCTTACTGACATGAAAATCAGAGCTGGGAATCATTAAAGAATTTATCAGGAAATGTACCTGGATTTTCCCAGATTTCAGAGCAGCAAACATGCACTGTGCTGTGTTAAAGGCGTGTCTCCAATTGTGATAAGCAACGTTCTTGCGATAGTTTTTCTTCACGCTCAAAATCCATCTGCAGAGAACCTTTAAGAAACAGCATCACTGATGTGTTTTCATTAAACCAGATTTCTAATACATTCCAATTTTCTTAATCCCACTTGGAAACTCTTACTGAAAAAAGAATCCATTTAACTCAATTTTAACTTGAAATATCACATGCTTGTAACTCTGTGAACATAGATAATAGCAGGCTTACATCCACTAGTACAGCTCCTAATTGAGTGTGCAATACTTGTGGGTTTGGGGGTTTTTTGCTAATGGCTAAATGTTAATGGCAGAAGCAATGCTCTTAATTCAGAAACTGAGCTATGTTGAGATACCTGGGAGAAAAAAATCCTTGTTCATAATGACATTTGACAGAGAAAATTCATTTATTATTGGATCTTCTTAAAAGCTGTTTTGAAAAATGAACAAGCAGCTTTTTCCTCCTATCAACTTGTCAAAACCCAAGCAGAATTGGACTTTGGAAGGCAAATAAGTATGATAGAAAGATTATTACATTGCAGGGTAGTTGCTTTTTTTATGGAGGAGGAAAGCATGTCCTGGATGTTTTATTCAAGAGTATAACAAATTGTGGGTTATAACTATTTATCTATATATATCTTTAGATATACACACACATACATATATATATATGCACTCTTTTTTCCCTACTTTTTTTTTGTAAATAAGTGACAGGTCTGAAGGTCAGGTAGTAATTTGATGTTGGGACATTTTCCTTAAGGTTGTTGACCTTACTACGGAGGTGAAACTAAGCACTAGGATATCCAAGAGATCAGATGAGGTAATACAGCACTCTTGGCCCTTGAACACTACTAATCTAAATTGGTCTATAAATTGCTGATCTAGAAAATAATTATATGTTTTCTTTAACTAATGTGTTTGCCTATGAAGCCCTATAAATTAATCTTGCATTTTGATATCAATTTTGATGGTTTTGTTGAAAATGTTATAAAGCAATAATAAAATACTTAAAAATGAAGGTTTTTAAAATAGATGTAGTGTGCCCTGAGGGGAGAGGCTGAAGAGATTTTCTATTTTACCTGCTTTAATCACCTCTGACAGATGTATTGGTAAAAACCTTCAGGAAAATTCCCACAGCCCATCTAAGTTTTCTTCTCCTTCAGTATTTACTATCTCCATGACCATGGAGTTCCCCCTAATCTATTCTTTTGTGGGGAAAGACTAAGATAATTACTACCTCATATGGACATAGTGAACAATTTTATGGTCCTCTTTGTAAGTTTTTGACTTCCTGAGAAGTTGCTATCCTCTCCCTCCTCAGTATTGTTTTCCAGTCCATTAATCATAGACTGTAAAATTATTAATCCTCCACTAGAGCCAAACTGAGTACAGACCACAATTCTTCATATACCTTCCTAGTTTTCTAACTGCTCTTTAATACAGATGTCCAAATCTATTTCCTGTGGGATCATTTCACTGCTCTGAATTCCTAATAATTCAGCTGTCTCTTCCTGTGGAGCAGTATTTGGCAGCAACCATACCTCGTGTTTCATTTGGAAATTTTGCACCAGGTTGAGGTCTGTGAACATTCGAATTGTGCACAGTGTTGTTTCAAAGTCTGACAGCTCAAAGTCACTGAAGTAAAAGTCAGTCAGGTTGAGAGTTTGTGCAGATGGAACTACAGCAGCCTGAAAAAGAATGAGAGAACACAGCTTAGCACTAGGGCAGAGACAGCTGAATAAATACCTGCTTTTTCAACAGACTAATTGAAAAAGAAACTACATTTTACCTACATGTGATACTGAAAACTGATGATTGTTTCTCATTTACTTCCCCATGCCTCTCTTGTTTAACACTTCCTTATTACCTTAGATTTAACAAGTACTTTTCCATAGATCAAGAGAATAAGGATTGAATTACCTGCTCAGTCTGGTTATCTAAATCACCCGAGGCAAATTGTAACCAAAAGTATTGATGAAATTGGGAGAATGAGGAAAATAAGGCAGTGGAGTTATATGTTTGTTTTAATGGATGTGCAGACAGCAAAATCTGTAATGTTGGCATTTTTCTAAAAATGGCGAGGAAAGAGATGTCAGTAAAACACATTTGCTAACAGAATCCACATTCAGCACGATGGGAGTCAGAACATGTCCACAGGCAGAGCTTTCTCAGGGCTAGAAACCTGAAAAATTAGAGTTCATCTGTGATCAGCAAGCTTTAAAACCCGTGGTCAGTGGTTTTGGTGCATAAACCTTCAGTGTGAAATTTGAAATTACAAGGTACACAATACAGCCCCCCTCCTATATGCTTTTAAATCTGAGTTTCTAATTGTCAGTAATATCTCCATGTATTACATCCCTTTTCTAGTTAGAAAATACAGAGTATTTATATCGGTTGCCCTTCAAAATACAAGTGTAGAGGTCATGCTAAGTCTTATATTAACTCTTATACTAACAAAATAAATGCTAAATCTTATACTATAGAATAAAATTTGGTATAATTTTCTGCAGTAGAATAAAAGGTAGGGCTCTCAGTGCTATTATTTTAGAGCTCTTGCACCTCAATATGAGTGTGGTCCAAAGAAAATCAGGTAAATCTGAAATGGTGAAGGAAATAAACCTTGGTGTTTATTTTCCTCTTTGTAATTCTAGGGGAAAGCATTTCTCCAATGTGGGCGGCTGTGTCCCAGAAGGTGAGGAACTGAAAAAGAAGTATTTGTCATAAACTACAGTATTAGTACATGTAACATGCAAATCCATAGAATTATGGCTACCAGCCTCTGTTCCATATCAGTTTGCTGTTCTCTCCCTTGCGTGCCAGAATCAGGAAGTCATGAAAGATTATGAAAAATAGTATTGACACAGGGAAAAAATGCACCCTTGTTACACATTTCTTGTGCCAGTAATTTTGTGACCCTGTTTGGATTCATGTGGGATTTCAGCTATGAACACATGAAAGGCCTGCATGTTCACTGGTAAATAATGCAACTGTTCAGCAAAGCTACTGACATAATTTTGAAGAACTGCAACTGCAGGCTGGGATTTCACAAGGAAATGGGCTGGAAGGACACAGAAGGAGCTCAAAAGAACACCTCACACATGACTTCATTCATAATTTATCTTCCTCTTCCTTGATCTCCTGCCTTTTACAGCCACAACATTAAGTTTCATTCCAGCTGAAACAGAAAAACCCCTGCACTCTATAGCAGTTTATAGTGTTGTTTAACCAGATTAGCTACTTCCTTTTTCACTTACTGAAGGCACTAGAGTCTTTTGCCTCCTGTTTTACAGCACAAAAAGTTCATCAGCTATTTTAATTTCAATTTATTGAGCTATGGTTTCTGTAAATACATGGGCAGCAAAAGAAGCTATGGAAAACATGGGACCACTCTGTGGCAACTATATAAAGAGCTTTGCTTTCTTTCACCTGCTTTGGATGAAAAACAGGTTGCAGACAGTGCCTAGGCTCAAAGGAGGTGATTGATGCAATAGTAAAGTTCTGTAGTATGTAGAAATGATGATGAAAGTAAAAATTGGCTGCAACTTATTCTGCAAGGCAGATAATTAGTAGAATAGAATAGTGCCAGTTGGAAAAGCCCTACAACCATCTGCTAGTCCCACTACCTGCTAAGTATCTATTCTCAGATTATTTAGAAGCAAAATGTATATCCAGGAAAAATTTAAACTATTTCTACCATCTTTATATGACACTGTGAGTAGAACAAATAAAAACTAAAATAAAAATGTTATGAGTGCAACTAAAAAGACCTGTGCTTGTGCTCTGGTGTGACCTTAGAGAGCAGTGGCTGACACAGGCCTGTGCTAGGAAGCTGTGGACAGTTAAACCATGCAGGTGGACACTGGCCCAGTTCTAAGTTTGCTGTGGTTCTGTTTCATTGAGCAGTAATGGTGCAACCACAAAGATTTCATCACAAGCCCTGAAGAGAAACCTTAGGAGAAGCCTTCCACTCTGCTCTTGTCATGGCTCTTTATTCATGAGCAGCAGCATGGAAGGACTGAGGTTCAAAAATCTGTGTGACAGCATTCTAGAAATATCCTTAGTCTCACACCTTGTCCTGTCTCTTGGCCAGACCAGTCTCATGCTGCCCAGCTCAGGGTCCCCTATGCCTTCCTTCCTCTCCATCCCTCCCGTTTATTTTTGTGCAGCAGGGGTGATGCTATTTCCCTGGAACAGCTGCTGAAGGCTTGGAGAACTAAGCACATGCTGTGCTTTGAAATGCACTTGAAATCCTAGCTATAGTTATTCCTTAGGCAGTGGCTTCTAAACACAGAATTAAACATGAGCAGAACAGGACACTGCACAGAAAAGCAACCATAAAAATTTTTAAATAATTGCATTAAAAATTCAATACAGAATTTATATGTAAGGCCATAAAGCTGCACCCATACTTGGGATGTTTGAAAGGTACCAAAGTTATAAGATATACAGATTCAGACTTAGCTGCAGAATAGAGAGTTCTGAACATTTTGCTTCTGGAATACTTAATCATTATGAGTTTGATACTGACAGGTCATCAGTGACTGTCTCAAATTCCTGAGAAAATCAGTCAGCTCAGGTCTGGTTCTCACAGTGCTCTGGCCAGCTTTTATCTCTCACTGTAGACATTGTAATACCTCCCTTTAATGTGATTCAGCTCAGGAGCCCATCAGTATAAGCTTCAATGTCATTTTTATTTCTGGAACATATGCCCCTTTAGTGATCACATTCATGTACAGGACTGTTCTTGGTTTTTCTACTAAAGCAATATTTCTAAAGTAATAGTAAAAAATTCAATTACCACTGTTACCTGCAGCTCCCTCGTTTCCTCCTCAGCAGCAGAAGCATGGTATGACAGAACCTACAGAAGAAAAAAAGCAGCCCTTAGTACAAACAAAAGGGCAATGTAATAACGAGGTACTTTTCCTAGAGTAGGTTTTTCAGCATTCCACTGCATTTTCTGATGAAATCTTCTGTCCATGCAGGGCCTGAGCCAGTTTAAATGGAGCTCTCTGAAGGCATATGGGGAGATATCTACATCTTTTACAAATCTCCCACACACGGAAGCTTCTCGAGATTATTAGGCCAAGAAAACAAATAGCTTCCATAAAGGAGCAAAGAACTCTGATTTTCTCTTAGCAAAGTTTTCACGGCCCATTTTCAAAGACAAATAAAACACGAAACAGCTCTTATTATGAGCCTGACATTATTGTCATAGTAATTCTTTGAAGAGTTTATTCAGACATGAAAGTTTTACCCTAACTGAGACTCAGCACAAAAGTCTGAAAGACAATATATTAATTTTCAATTTAAAAAAATAAGCTCTCAGAGATTGAGAACATATGACATGAAAATGTTACAGAGCTTAATTTTTTTGTAAAGAACCCATTTTATATGCTAGCCTGTAATCTGGCTGGAACTTTGTATATTATCTATAAAGTGTTATAGTAGGAGACAGAATTGCAAATTTGCTATATGAGCAAATGATTTTCACAATAGTTTTACCAGCTTTTTATTTAACATGACCTAATACAGGATTATTTGAGAACTGTAAAGAAGCCACAGGGCACATAATCCCATTTTACGAGCTTTGCAAACACTTCTGTTTGCATAATTAATGTTAGGAGATCCAAAATCTACACACTTTTCACTTTCAGCTTCAAGTTATCACCCCTGAGTAATTCAGCTTCTCAGACTAAAGCCCACTTCAGCTGTGAAGGTTAACAGGAACCAATTCACAGGCTGGGACCAGATATGGTTTGTTGGAGTCTGAGAAAATTGCTGAGAACCTACAATAATGCTGCTGTTACTCCTCACGCTGGTTTGTCTGAAGGTCTGAGCCAGAATCATCCCAAAAACCCTCAGACAAGAAGAGGAAGCGCCTTAATCTGCCAAAGCATTTCCCTTTTTCTACGCAACAACACAGCCACTGTGCTGCCAGAGTGCAGCCTCGTGGAGAGGAGGAGATGCCTCCAGCTCCCCACAAATCTCAGCAGTGCAGTCAGGACACAATACCAAATTAAAGAGTCTGCTGGCAGAGTCAGTAACAAGCAGAAAATCCCTGAGCAGCTCAGCAGCCCAAATGCTGCTCTCCTGAGGGATGACAATCTCTGTTCAGTGTCCCTGGGAGTAGCTGCACTTACGTGCAGAACAGAGAGGGTCTGGGAACATGAGGATCTCTTTGGGGCTAATTAAGGACCACCTAGATTTGGGCTCACCTCTAATGTCACCATCTGTTTGGCCATGGCTCTTTCTACAGCCTCGTACATCTGTGTGTTCTGGATCCCCAGGCCACAAAAGATGACGAATGCTTCCAGGAACTCCTCATCATTTCTGTTGAAAGCCTTGATTTTTCCTGATTTTTCTTCCATCTTATTCACAAGCTGGCAAACCCCTGTGCCAGGACACAAAATTGAAAGGAAGTGACCCAGAGAACATTTCACCATTGAGAACTAAGTTTAGTACACATTAGCCTACAGTATAGACCACCAACATACATAAGTGACATATAGCAATGCTGTAGGATTTTCCATTTTTTTAAGGGTAATTTCAATGTGTTATAAAATAAACGTTAAATATATATATATATGTAGTAAGTAAAAAAGTATTTATTAGTATTTGTAAACCAAAAATGTAGGGCTTTAGATACTTGATTAACCTGTGAAATTCTAGGGTTGTTTTCATCCTAAATTTTATTATTAATAGGATTCTAGATTGATTTAATCCCTGAAGACAATTTGTCCTTTGGAGGCTAATTAAATTTTTGCAACCATGCCAAAAGAACATTTATGAAAGTCAGAACAGTGGTACACAGAGTTTTTTCTTCTTTGAGCCAGTACTAGGATTTTTTTCAAGTAAATGAACTAAACAGGGAATACCCAAGCTGAGGTTCAAAGCTGAAGTACAATTGTCCATTTTTTGAGGATGTGGTTGAATTTCAGCCCCTTCCAAACACTATTGAACTTGAGAAGCATCTGACTGAGTTCAGCTTGTAGGTTCAAACTTGCTGTTATTTACATTATTTTTCTGTTAAGAATTTCTGGGCTTTTTTGTGCACGTGTCAATGAAGAAGTTTGACAGGTAACTTTACCACACCTTGCTGCAGTTTAAATCCCTGACACCATTGTGAGCAGGGAGGAATTAAAAAATACACCTCCCCTTAGTTTTACCTGCTAAGAAACCAGAATATTAACTACAGCAGCTGAATTATAGGATTATGTTGTCTTTGGCCAAAACTGCTTTGGGGGTCAGTACTGCCTTAAGGGAGTCCAAATGTTTTCTCACTCCCATGAGCATAAAAAGCTGCATTTTCCTGGCTAAGTGCCATGATAGCCCAGCTGCAAATTAAAAATTCTGAAAAAAATTACCATGTGTGCATCTTCCCTATTATAGTAGATAATAAATCTGAGGAAAAAAACGCAGCACACCCATGCCAACTGTGGTTTTAGAAGAATGTTGGCCTCACAAGTTTGGATGTCTGGTGACAATGCAACATTGTCCTGTTTCCAAGTTGTATTCTGTTTGGGGAACTCGGTATCAGAGTTTCCTCTAAAGAGACCAAGACCACCATAGCTGTAGATGTTAAGTGTAATGGCAGGGACTGGGCTATCTGAATATTGCAGACAGAATTCTGAACTTTATGGAATGAGATGGAAAGGAATGGATCATTGAATCACAGTAAAAGAATATAATTCCATCAGAAAAGGTTTCATTCAAATAAGGAACAAGATTAACTTTCCTTGGGAAAAAAAAAACAAGCTTGAAACTGACTTTCAGATTTCTGTTTAGTACAGTTTATGACATTATAATTATTTCCATAGCAACTATGATGTAATGAGCACAAGATTAAGACAGTGAATATGCCACAAAAGTAAATGAATTCTTAAAAGTCACAGTATTTGCACATAAATGTCTCTTAAAAAAAATAGAGAGCTGCAGTAAATATATTGTGTATTACTTAAGATGCTTTAACCTCTTCCAAAAACTTCCCCAAAGCACTGAGAGATCCATTGATTACAAATAAAGCAAGTCCAAAATCTTACATTAGAACAAAGTTATAAAATCACAGCAAGATACTGTAAAGCTTTTACCACATACCTGAGAAATGCACAAGTCAGGAGAATAAAGTTATTTTCATCTTTCTCGCTAGTAAGATTTGCTTGGGTTTGATGTGGACAGTTTTTCCCACCCCCACTCCACTTGCCAAGTTCTGGTTTGGGGTATCCTAGTCTTAAAAATAATTTTTGAAAGAAACCAGGCTTATAATAATAGTCATACATGCTATGTAGTATAGTAAAGGAACTTCTGGGTATGGTCCCAAAGACAACTTCTTCACCTTGCCCTATTAAACATCTGAACATGAGGCAGCTGTGAAACCATAAAATACTTCCAAGAACATTCCCAACGAGAATGACTCAGATTTGACAAGCCCACCTAAATGGGTGGTCTGACTGAAACTTTCAGTTTGAACTTCAATAGAAAATCTCAATAGGGAAAAAAAAAAGCAGATAGAATTGTTTTATCAGTAGCTCACATTAAGGTGAAATACCCCTAATTAAAGCTCTACACTTCAGTCTTCATCTTGGTCTTCTAGGGTTTGTTGGAATATTGAAATAAAGTAATAAAAACTCATAAAAGAAGCCGATAGCAAAAGAAATTTCAGAGAACTCTATTAAATAAAGATGAGGTTGCTCTTTCTGTCTCAGATGTTGAAAACCTAAATCTGTCTTCACAAAAAAGGGACATCATATTTACTCTATAAATTGGGCCGTGCAGTTTTGCCATCAAAGAAAATTATTTGAAGACCATTAAAAAGGCATTCTTGGAACTCGAAAAAATTGGGCAAGTAAACAAAAAGCTGATGAAACTGGATCCATGCTCCTATCTAAGAATCAGTAGGTTTTATTTTCTGTTGGCTTGTGGGACTTACTGATGCCAGGAACAAAGGCTGACATTCATTCTCTACTCTTGGGCAGCTTATTAGGTGAGCAATTTATATTCAAGGTTGCAGTAGACTTTTTAGTTGAGAACATGATAATTAAAGATCTTCTCTCCTGGCTTGAGATTGCATGTTGCTGTGATTTTACTGTGGAGCACATAAATTTATCTATGAAATGCACAACATGATTTTTATAAAGATACCTACCTATCACTTTATTCTTTTTCCCATTTTTTATTGGTGTACACAGCAAACTCTTTATGCTCCGACTTGCATTTTCTGCACTGTCATTCTGTTAAACAAACAGAAAAACACAGTTACAACTTTAAAGGCTGTTTTTCAGGTGGCTGAAGTGAAAAAGCTGTAGAGCTGGGTTCCACAACTAGTGTTGGCTTAAATCTTCCTTCGAAAAGCCACCAGGCCGTCAATGAGTTTGCACACAAACAACAAGCAGGAAAACTACTACAGCTAGGTCAGTGTTCTGCACTATTGCCAGGACTGTGCTCCAGCAGAAGGAGATGAATTTATTTGGGGAGTGGAAGGATAGAACCAAGAGATAATGCCTCCTTTTCAAACACCTGGGGAGAAAAGGCCAAAAAGCTCTGCTCTGATTGCTCCAGGAATAGCACAGCAGTTGTTGAGAAGTACTTTTGGTCTGATTTCTAATTGTGTGTGACATCAAAAGAAATGGGCACATGCTAATATTTCTGGTCAAAAGGCTCTCTTTTTTTTATATTGTTGCTTTGTGCTCTGTTGCTGTGTGCAGGGACTGTATAGAGTATCGTGGCAGGATTTTCATGAGGTGAGTGCTGTTCAATGTCCTCCAAAGAAAGAGGCAAGCCAAGGTTTCTGGGGCACTGGCAACACCTGGGATTTCCCTCATGTCAGGGTGCATCAGCTTTCAAAACATTGATCCTCCAGGATTTATCCTCTCCTGCCTTGCCCTTCTCCTGCAGTAGTGCAAGTGCAGTCTCTGTTTTGCTGAAAAACATTATCCAGATTCCTTCTAAAAGCACTGTTGCTTTCTTTTTATGGGTTTCTTTTATATACATAGGTGAATTCCAAGAAAAAAAAAAACAAAATAACTCTAACCCTCCTCAACAGCCTGTTTCCAACAAACAGTTGTTTGGATGATTGTCAATGTCTTGAAAATTATCACCTCTTTCTTTATTAATCTATACAGTATATCCATTGGATTCTGTCTGTACTTGCAGTCTTGCAGTTAAGGCAGGGTTAGTCTGAGAACTCAGTTCCTGTGTTGCTCAATCTGTCAAAGAAACCCACTGCAGAACATCCAAGTAAACCTGCCCAGGAAAAGAAAGGGAAACAACCCAGCTCCCCACCATGAGCCTGCCCCTTCTTTCCACTTCCTGCAACAATCACACTGAGCACTGTCTTTTCTGATCCTATTGTTGTCTGTCTCAGAACAAATTTTGGTAAAAGCCATCTGCTGATCATAGTAGCTCCTCTCCCTTTTGTTACCTTTCCACCAACAGGTATAAGCATAATAGGAAGAAGAGACATCTTCCTAATTTCTGCGTTGAAAATATGGGAAAATACATTATTAAAACTTTGCTTTTTGTTGATGATGGCCATGAAGGAAACCTGACTGGAACCTGAGCCTTGCCAAGTAACCTTCCCTCCTCACTCTCCAGTATCCTGTTCAGTCATCCACCAGATCACCAGCTCACACTTGAGGAAGTGATAGGCAAAAGCTCCCAAAGAAAAGTGAAGTTGATCCATCTCCACTGCAGCAAAGAACTTGCATCATTATATTAATCTTTGCCAGAACAAGAAAGGAAAGGCAAGGATAAAAGGGAAGGAGCTTCTGAGAGCCTCCCAACACTCACTGTGTGTTTGCACCATTTTTAACTGGGGCCACCTTGACAGAAATAATAAGGGGAAAGGAAAAAAAGGTTTAAAAGTTGAACAGGAAAACATTTTCCATTTCTGAATTTCAAACCTAAGCTTATTTTACTTACTGTCCATGGAAATCTTGTGTCTTTGCAGACATCTGGGATGTTGAGTGGCTCCATCGTATTCTTGACATACTGAGCATACATGTAATTGATTTTGTTTGTATCATAGTCCCTGAAGGATACAACATTATTATTATTATTATTATTATGTGCTTCACATAAAAGTGAATAATTTCATTGTGCCAGGCAGGTAATAGAAATAACTTTCCCATATGAGAGAAGGATGTATAAATAAAACCAATAGGTATATAATGGAGTTTAGTTCAAATCCTGTATCCTAACCCAGCTGTCATCACAAAACTGCAGCATGGATCGGTGCATGCTTTCCACCATTTCTTTCATGTTCAACAACATTAACACTGAACACCAAACTGAAGAAATAAACAATTCCCTACAGTTTACACAGATGAAGGCTAAAGAATGAACAGCTGGGTCTATGTAGAAATAAACAGAACTGTTTGAAAACAAACTGCATTCACAAATCTGGGACTCCTGAAAAACCAATACTGGGGGAAATTCACATATCAGTTTAAGAGAGTGCAGCAGGTATCACTTGTAAATTTTCTGCTTCTAAGTTGATTTAAATTTTTTTCTAAAAGTAAAGGGACAATCGGTCACATGGAGGTTCTGTTACTGAAATAGAACTGTCTATTCCAAATCAGGACACAGTATCTTTACAGAATCAATCATATCCACTTTTTTAGCCACAATTTAAGGTATTTTAATTCCCTTAGACCCTTTGCCTTCCTTGGAGGAGGACACGTGTCCTACTTATAAACCTATTCCCATCAAGCTCCTGAAGTTTCCCTCCAACATTTGACTTGACTTTCGTTATCTTCCTGGTATAAAGATTTCCAGGGCTCGAGGAGAGGAATTCTTCTTTCGTTATTTCACAGATACAAAGCAATGCCCCCCCAATTCTGAAAAAGAGTCTGATTTGGGGCTTGATTCAATGTCCTTGGTTGTATAACAAGCCTGAAATTTTATATTATGTAAAGTAATACTTCCCATCTAATCCATGTCATTGTATTTCTGCTCTTGCCTGAGATTGTGGCCTTGAAGCATAGCAGAAGTGGTAACTGCAATGGTTGACCCAGTGCAGTCCTTGGCATATAATTGTGTTGTCTCATGAACAAGAATCTGATTGGCAGCTAAGCCTCCAAGATTCCTCTTCCCTATCTGGTATGAGAACTAAGCTCCTGGTGGCCCATGCAAGCAGTAAATAACATTTTGAGTCCATTAACTAGTCACCATAAAAGGACTAATGAAGAGGAAGGGTCCATTCTTACAGAGCAAAAGAGGAATTTTCTTTTTCGCTTATGATCTTACCAGGCTGTTGTACCTCTGTACTTTTTGGTTGAACACTACCTAAAACTGTAACAGAGCTCAACAGCTTTTAGTTGGTCAAGTCACACACTCTGGACATCATTCTTCCATATAGGAATTAAACTTGATATAATAAATAGTTACTGCAAAACAACAGCAAAGGGGCTCAGACGTTTCCTCCCTGCACAAAATATCTGTAGTAGAGCATTTTGTATACAACTGTGTCTCTTTCTGACAGTATTTGAAACAACTTTTTTATGACAGAGACAGTAATTTTCAAACTTCAATACAGAGGTTCAGGCTAACTTTGGGAACTATTGTATCTGGGTATTTTATTTCAGCTCTTTCTTGTCCTCCCAGCTGAACTCCTTAGTGGTTTCCCAAAGATGAGAGTTAGAATTTTAGGACTCCAGTCTTGATTTAGTCAGACATGTTCTTTGAGTCATCTTCCCTATCTATGAGATGAGGATAATGATTAAAATAATTGACTAAAAGCATGATTTTGGTTATTATCTACTAATTTGCATGTCTCCTCTATAACATAGTCATCCACAGAGACTTCTTTGAAATCTGTTTTAGAGCAACTCCTCTGTACATTTCCATAGCTTAACCTTGAAATACAAATATGTTCTTAGACTGACCAAGTGAAGAGATCAAGCCCCTCTCCTGCTCTGCTCAGTGGGACCTTTTTAAGGTAACAGAGTTGGTCTATGCTCACTTCAGGGGAAAAGCTGCTCTAAAATAATAGCAGTAATATGTGGGATTCAGTAGAAATAAGTGTATTATTATGAAAAGAATATTAAAAGCATAGTTTCTTCAGCATTCTCCTAGGATGAACAAAAATCGAAATTAATTGGTTTACCTCTTCAGATTTTCAGCTGAATCCTCTAATTGTTCAGATTCCATGTGAAAGACACTAGAAAATGTATCCTGGAAAATCAAGAGGATGCTTAAATACACAGTTGTAGAAGGTTGTCATTATTTAGAACAGTATTACTCATTAAAATCTTGTTGCAGTTATGAAGACCTATTCTTGATACTAAAGACAAGTGCAAAATTATTTAGCTTCATTCCACATCTGTCATTCAGCACACTGGATCCTACCATAAAGGTATCTTTTGATTGAACTTTAAATATCACTGAAGTGTCTCGAATCTTTAGTCATGACCCAGAGAAGAAATGCTGATATTCACAAGCTGTGCCAAATTTATATGTCAGCACAGAAATTCTTTAATTACACAAAGGCCAAAACCACTCATGTCAACACCCAACCTGAGCAGATGCCACAAAAAAAAAAAAAAAAAAAAAGAAAAGACAACAGAACATATGAGAAGGCCACCCCATTCCCAGGGAATAACCACTTCTGCCTTCAGACAAAATAAACATACTCACAGGACAGTCTTCATCCACTATGAAGATGGTACACCTCTGCACCTGCATGAAGGATATTATAGTGGCTGCTATCTTCTTCAGGATCACTTCCAAAGACTGCTGCTCTTCAAAAATCAGGCTGGCAAGGTCAAGAAGCACCTGAAGAAAAGGTCATTTGTGAGGCTTTGACTAATCATGACTTTTGTAATAATTATCATTACTGATGTCTTTGAGTCTTCTCCTCTCCCCTGAATCAGGGAAGCCAATGTTGATATCTGTGACCAGAAATAAGTTTTGGCTCTCACAGATTGCAAGGTAACAGTCAGTATTAGCCAGTTTGACACTTTTAATGGAAGAATTAAATAGCACAATAAGCTGTCTGATGTTTTCAGTCAGAGAAGCAGAATGGATTTAGGCATTAATAGGTCCAATGAAACCTGTGAAATCCAAACACAGTTGCTTGTCCTTAGGAAAGCTATTTTCCTATGGCTCATTTGGGCCTTCTCCAACTAATGGTATTGACATTTTTTAAGACTTCTGAACACAGTTATTCTTGGTTGTAATTCTAACAGAGCCTAATTAACTCATTTGGTGAAAACATAATTTAGACACAGTCTGCTGTATTTCAAAGCTGCTGTTGAAGGACTTAGCTGCTCAAATAAGCTTTTTTTTCCTCACAAGAAACACGAAGGCAATTTAATCAACTGTCCAAATTTGTACCAATTTTCGAACACTGATAGTCAGTTGGAACTCGGACCTACCATGAAAAATTTTAAAACAACTGCTGTCTAGTCTTTTCTCTGAAACATTATCACATCATACAGGGCAGGCATATGCACCCATAAAGGCCATGGCATTAACAACCCATCATTTACAAAGCTGGCAGCAAAGTAGAGCTATAGAAATCAGAGGGAAGTTCAGTTTTCCACGTGATCATTACTGAAAATATGGTTAGTGGCTGTTGCAGTGGTAATAGTCTAAAGGAACAGTGGGTATTCCCTCTGCTATTCCACAGGGATATTCCTTCCTGCCTGTAATTTCTGGAGTCTGACACCTCTGCTGGTTTAATACATACAATGAACCACAGGATAACTGCAGGCAGTATCAAGTGTATGAACATGGAATGCATTTGCTGACACGTGGCTCTACCTGCCTCCCCTAGACAGGCCATTCCTCACAGCCCAGGCTGCAATGTGCTCAGCCTCTTCTCAGAGCAGCTCCTCAGAGCTTTATCAGAGAGACAGCATTCAGTCACAGGGATTAAAGGCAGCCAAGGAATAACTATGACATGAGAAAGAGGAAGAGGAGTCGCTGATTACTTGCAAACCCCCCCTAATTCCTGTATCCCCGGGACAGAGCTGTTGGCCGTACCTGATTGCGCCTGTTCTCGAGCAGAGACGTCTCGTACAGCTGAGCGTTGTGAAGAACAATTCCACAAAACGCCAAATACGCCGCAAAATCCTGCGGGCAAAGCAACGTCAACATCTCACAGACATCATGTCCCACAGCATCTCAACTCTAGTCAAAGATAAGCTACTGCAACGTTTTGTTTTCACTCTGAAGTATTAATTGATATTTTTGTTATTTTTGGCAACCGCATATTCAGGGTCTGGGTTTTTTTCAGCTTCTCATAGTTTCTCATTTCCTCAAGAATCCCTTCTTTTGCAAGCTAAAATCTGAAGATCATTATCTTGGTACAAGTAGGGTTCATCTAAAAAGCAGCTTCAAGGAAAAAATAAGTGTGCAGCAATGCATATTTTATCTAGAAAAACTGACCACAGGCAACTTGTCCCTCTGAGGGAATTCAGTCCCTGGGGAAGTAAAAATAAAAATTTGCTAACATAGCAACCCCAATATTTTTTTCCTCATTCAGGATGGGATTAATTTTGATAGTCTGCAGATACACAGTATGCATTTTGTTTTAAAAGGGAAGTTCTGAAAGAGAAAGGGTGAATTCTGATTCTTTTCTTGCTGATTGTGAAGTCAACTTCTTCAGCCTGAGCAGAGCATGGGTTTTGCCCCACCTATCTGAACATGAAATCTTGAAAGTTTTGAAAATCAACTGCACTGGGAAAATTAGGAATGAATGCTACTGGCTGCTCTCCTGATTCTCTCATATATTGTTCGTAATTTACCTAAAGCTTTTGTTTTTCCTGCAAATGGTATACTGAGAAGTGACGTGGTGTTTAAAAGAGAATCACTCCCCAAACTTTAATATTCAAATTCTGTTTGTTGAGTTTGTCAGGAGAGTTAGAACTAATTAATTAAAAATTACGTCCATTCAGAGTTATGCAAGTGTTTTACAGTGCATTTCAGTAGAGTAAGTCTGCGTTTCAGAGATATATGACATGGTGATCCAGAAACGAAATTATTTCACATCCACATTTCTCATGGCCTCAAAGAAAAAAAAGTGCAGTATGGCCAGGAATGTTTAAGTTCTCAGAGATGTTTAATTTTTAATAAGTTAAAAAATTCTGAGCAGCAAAGTTAAAAACATATCCATCTTTCCCCTTCTGAAAACAGAAGAGACAAACATCCAGCTTTTATACCTTTTCATCCTGTTCTGTGAAAGTGCCGTCAATTCCGGATTTCTTGTTGATTGCTTGAGCCACACCAACGACCTAGTTTATTCAAAATGGAGAAGTCAGCTAATTTCTATGAGTCTGTCACTGGATTCCACTTCTAGGCATATTTATGTAAGATAATAACTGATCATTACAGGTATTTGCTTGGTTGACTATTAAATCAAATTGTTCAGTTAATGAATGTTTCTCTCCCATACAGAAACATTGCCTAGATTACAGGATTTGAAGACCTTAGCCTTTCCCTAATATAATTCTGCATTTCCACTGCTTTTGAGACAAATTGTTATTAATCTGACAAAGTATAATGCAAAGCTTTTAGATCTTTTTAGATTTTTTTTTTTTTTAGCATGATTATGACAACCGATAGAAAAACCTGCAAAGAACTTCCTTTGTTTGAAGTCTAATTAGTGTAAAACCAATGCAAAATGCTAATGGTGGTTTTTTTCATCTTGCTTTTTTAGGATAAACACTATCAGAGTAAAACTGTGTGGTAAGCGTTTTAAAAAGTTGCATTTAACCATTAATAGTAAAATTGTAACTGCTAAACTGAAGGAAGATATGTGGTTTTATATTTGTAAAGGAAAAGAGGACAACTTACTATCTCTCAGCCCAGCATTCCCAAAATATTGATGCTGTAAGTAAAGCCATTGTTCTTTAACAAGAATCACTGCCAACTGTGGGCTCAGAAATGTCTGTCTGAAACAAAGCTCAACTGTCAGCTCCATTCCATACAGCCCCATTTTTCCCACAGTCCATCTCTATCTTCTTAAGTGAGGAACATTTCTCATCCAGTGGACTTCCTCTCTGTAATAACGATTTACACCAGCCTGTGCACTTCTCTGGCAGACTTGGAATAAAAGAAAATCCCTTAACCAGTTATTATGCTTTTATGTTAACCTACATGTGCAAAGGTTAATGCTTAGACCTCTTCTCATGCCACTGTCTTCCCTGGGTGCTGATTAAATTTTTTTTTTCCCAGTTGTGATCCAGCATGAACTAAGACAACTTTAACAACGCCAGAGGCTTTTCACCCAGAAGGTGAGTACTTTCACATCGGTTATTTAAATACATCCCCTCCATGAAAGGAAAGTCTGCAGTGCTTAAAAAAACCTATAAGAAAACAGTAAGAGGACCGTATTAATACAGGAAAAAAAATCCAACAAAACTATTTAGGCTCCTTTCCTCAGCACTCCAGGTTTCAGATAGTTTAACAAATACAGGTGTTGCAAGAGCAATGGTCAATTTAAATCTTTGACAAGGTCTGTCAGTAAAGGATTTTAACTCAAAGGGAAGAAGTAATGAGGAGAACAAACTTGCTAAAATTCATGTTGACTTGGTGAGGATAAAAATTTTGTGCATATGCAAACCCTTGTCTTTTTAGTTGCTATTTCAGTAGCATTCTAAGGTTCCAGATAACTTTGTATTGTGCCCATTTCTTTTTCACACAAAATGAACAGTCTTAAAAATTAAACAGGTCCAAATTCTGGCTTCATTTATATCAGTAAAAATTTCAGTGCACTTCTCAGAATTCCATAGAATATGGTGCAGAGACAGTAATGAGAAAAAATTTCAGACAGGCAGTTTTTAGCCATTGGAGTCTTGCCTGCAACCAGGTAATTAGGAGAAGATGTAGGAAACTTGAGAGGATCTGCTCCTGTTACTAAAGTAATTATATAATTAGGACAAAAGTCAATCATGTGGTAGCATTTGGGGCCATGGAGAACATATGCCTGCATTTTAGAGAATGCTAAGCACTGTCTGAAACCTAAATCCTAATTTTTAAAACTTATTCTAAACAAGTCACAAATAACAATAGGTCAAATCTGTTATCTTCAGCTGGGAGTTTTGTTTGGACCAGCAGAAAAACTGAATCAAAGGTGACCAACTGCTCTGGGCTCAGCTACACAGGGAACTAAAATAAGCTTAAGATATTACTCTGGACTGAAGAAAACCAAGGCTAAGGGAAAGACTGAAGTAATTAGGATCTGCTTATGCTTTGACATCTGTGAGTTTATGGCTTAATCGCTGAAGTAAGCAGCGTACTGTGGAGTGCTACAAGCTCCTTTTCCTGAGCTTTCCTTTCCCTCCAATATGGACTAGGCAGGTGGGGTTATAGAACACAGTGTATCTAGAGGAGTACTGCAGAGCATAAGTGGAGAGCAGGAGGGAATTCCCCTTGGATCAGAAACCAAGTACTTTGCTATTTTTCATTCAGATCACATAATACAGACATAGACCATAAAGACAAAAAGGAATTTTGATCAGTCCCAAAGAAGAACAAACCTTCCATCAATTGCTGATTCAATACCCACCTATGTTTTACCACATCTGAACACAGTTTCCTGATTGTATTCTTGCTGGTAACACTGGTGATCTGCCAATGCTCTACTCGTTCTCTAACCTTTTTTTTCTAGCTGTGCTACTTTTCCAGTTTAATAAATTCTGATCCACATTACAAGGAGAGATTTCTTCTAATTACCAGAAAACTTCAGTTTTACTCTTCTCTTGCAATAGCTGGGTCCTGCCTCTAAAAGTAGCAGGCTACCTTGAGTACCCGGTGGGTGACGACTGATGACTTCAATGCTGATGACTGTGCTCTGGGTTTTATATGGATGGCTTCATGCTGCAGTTTTCTGCACATTAAAATTACAGGCCTAACTCTGTGAAAGCTGTTCCAGCTCTACAGGCAGCTGGTGCCTTTTTCAGTAGGTTCTTACTCAAGCTGACTTCTGATAAGGAGATTGTTGGTTTTTTTTAATTTACTTTGCTGGCACCTGAAAGAAAATGACACTACGGCCAAAGAATGGTAACAGAAAATGGGAACTTGACATTTTTTGTAAGAGAACATACCCACTTCAGAAGACAAAGTAGTGTTGACCTTACTTTGCTCTCTTGGTCTTGTAGATGTTGGATTCAAGCTTATAAAATTATTCTGCAGTGATAGAACTGTATTTACAGACCATCATTTTTTATCAACAAAAATTTCACATCCCTTTCAATCATTCATGCCAGCAGTAACCTCCATGCTTTGCAGCAGTCTAGCTACTATAATGTGTGCCTCAGTATAAGCTGAAAAATCCATCCAAGAAGCAAATTTCTGATCTCCATAATCCTGCAGCATGACTCCTGCTGGAACTGAGATTGTTTCAAGTCATCTTGGCTAGACCTGCTCTCTCCTGCCACAATTGGGATGTGTGATAGCTGAAGGTTTCACTGAGGGAGAAAACTCAACTGGCTAAAGGTGTGCCCAGTCCCATTTTACACAATAAAATTCAACAGGGGATTTTCAAAGGCTGTTTTAATTAGTAGCACCCCTGATTTGTTGGGAAGAGCTTCCCAGTGACAGGAGATGGGTCCCAGTAAACAACAAAGCAAACAACTGAGTAAGCATTGCTAGAAAACCCCCCAGCATTTCCCTAGCCAATTACCAGGAAATTCAATCTTACATGCTCACAGCTTGGGAGACCCATCTCAGTTAATTCAACTAAAAGCTCCACATGAGAAAATCCTACAGATTTTAGTCGAAATTAAACTGAGATTGACTTTCATGAAAATTACTATGCCCAATTAAAAGGAAAAAAAGACCCAAAAACCACAAAACAGCAATAACAAGAAATTGTGTCACTCGTGGAGATGATCTTGTGGTGGCTCTGTGCTTCAGAGACCATCCATTCTCCAGGTATTCCAAACCTGCTGGAGAGCTCTACTGAGTCTTCCATCAGCTCTGGAGAGCTCCCCAAGTTGGTTCAAGCTGAGGAATGGAGCAAAGATGTCTGTTCCCTACCCATTCCTGTCAAAGTGACTGTTTGTTTACAAGTGTCTACAAAGCCTTATGAAAGGTAAAGTCCTCTTATTGCACTGCAATTTGTGCCTCATTATTAATAATTCCTGGGCCCTTTCCATGAGCTCTTCTGTGAATCAAATTGTTGTCATTTATGGATTTTCTTACTAGCTGTTATTTTTAAATGAGACTTTGGTTTCTCACATAGCTCGTGGAAATATAGGCAAATGTGAAAAACATCTAGTGGAAAAATCTCCGTACTTCAGCAGGCCCAGAGGGTTTAGTAACCAGCATGAGATTTTCCTCCTCTCAATTACTGACTCTTTTGTTTAAAAAAAAAAAAAAATAGCACTAATACTAAACAAACAAACAGAAAGCCCCAGTTGCTTCTCTTTCTCAGTGTTTATATTTGGATGCCTTCCAGAATCATCTTTTGACTGTGATTGCTGACATCCTGGGCTAAGGCAGCATTCACAAGCCTCAATATTTCTAGAGGGGCTTTGGGAATTTTTAAATTTTATCTATTTATTATTTTAACAGGGAGGAGCCAGTGTTCTGGTTTTGTTGTTTGGGGGATTTTTAAACAGAAAAAAAGCAGCAGAACGTGAATGGAAAATTAAGGACTGATTCACTGACTCCAGTGTCTCTCCAAAAATATGTCAGTCATTTGTTGCAGTGAGAATGAGAAAAACCTTCTGGTAGAGACTGTAAAACGCTGAAAAAATTACAAACTGCCATCCTTTCCTGTAAGAAATCTTACAGTTTAACACCTTCAAATTATTGCCTATGAGGGTAACACTCCTCAAACTTCAGGTTGGCTGAACTCGTCAAAATAAACAAATTCCTGCTTCATTTCCGCTTGCAGATGCACTCAGGAGGAGGAAGCTGGCTGAAGACACGGCCCATTGCAGGTTTATTCAGCCCTTAAGTCATGGTGGGCTGGACAAACAGACTGCAGCTCTTATTCCTTCCCCACCCACCAGCAGCACCCAGTGAGAAGTGAGCATTTCCACACTCCCCAGCCAGCAGGGCTTTGTAGCTCCTTTCTGTGCCCGGTTCCATGGAGCATATAATTTTTCCATTTGACAAAAACAAACCAAAAAAAAAGGCATGGCTCGGATGAAATTGGAAGCCTTGTATCAGCCTGACATGGACCACTGATCCCTGACAGTTCTTCACATGGCATCTGCTCATCTGCTGGCCCAGGGCCAGCGGTGGCTGCTGCCAGGTACAAAAGGGAAGACTTTTAAGCAGGAGTGGGAGTAGGAAAAGATCAAGTGCTGTCCTTGGAAGAATGGAACAAAATCATTTAAGCTGAAATTTGCTGTATGTGAAAAAAGGAAATACTAGCCAATCATCTGGGTCAGCTAGAATAAGATTCAATAAACAAGTTAATGCAGGCATTTAATCAATTAATTTAATTTTAAAAAAAGGTTCAGTGCAGTAGAAGTCAAGGTGACACTCTACAAAAAGAGTGAAAGATGGAAGAACAGAAAAAAGAAGGTACGTCATCTTCAAATCAATCTTGGCAACATTTCTTGCTGGAAGCTTGAGCTTTCTGGAAGCAAACTATAATTGCTCTGAAAAACAAATGAATTCCAGGAGAGCAAAATCTCCATTTCAAAGCTCTGACACACTGTGGGGAGAGGTATTCTAGAACTGGTGATGTGGCTGAAGGCCACTACAGTCAGGATCAAAGAAAACCCAACAATACTTTCCTTACTCCCAAAGACTGCATCTCATCTTTTCCTGTTCTTTGGCTTTCATGGGCTTTACTGAATTCACTCTTCACATACTCAGGGCAAGAAGATGTTGTTAGCCCAATAATAAGAATTCTCCCTACTGCAGTAGCATGAGACAGGATGAGAGAGCTCCCAGGAGAAGCAGCATGGACAGGAAATATGGACAAGAGTTCAGTGAGGCAATTCACATTGTTTCAAATTAGAAGTGATTTAAGTTATGACTTGAGGATGACTCTTCTGAATCACATTGACACTGCGTGTTTTTCAATGCCTCATGTCAGCTCATAAGTAATAAATTAGGAACCATGTTGAGTTAAAAGAGTGTAAAAATAATCATGTTTTTAGACAACGATAAAACCCAGTTTGTGCCCTCTGAATGAAGCAATATAGATACAAGCTAAGCTGAAGTACAGTAACTTAATCACAATTTGAGATAGACCAGTAAGTGTGCTGAGGAATTTAATGCTGACAGATACTGAGTACAGGAAGTAGGAACAGCACTTCTGGAGTTAAATACATATATTCTACTGCTGCATTTGGGATTAAACTCTTCCTGACAGTTCCCTTTGGCTTACATTACTCTACTAGATAAGATAAAATTACAGTCTAAACAAACATAAGCAGTCTTGCTTAAAAAAAAAAAAAAAAAAGAAGATGGTTGGAAGATGATGACTGCCGGCTAATGAAAGTTTAAAGCATCAGCCTGACTGGAAATAGTATTACGTGATGTGATCCTGAGATGGCAACTTACCTCTTCCCTGTGATTCTTTATGGGCATACAGAGAATGCTCTGAGTCTTATACCCTGTGATCTGGTCAACTTCCGCATTGAATCTTGGATCCTGATATAAGAAAAAATGCAATTATTAGACTACTAGCCTAAACACCAGGGTTTTTTTCCCCTTGGTTTATAGGCTAAGAAAAGTGTAATATTTTGACTGTCACCCAGGATAACAAAGGTTCCATTACTAGCCAATAATTTTTTTAAGTTGTTGCTATCAGCGTATGAACTACAGAAAAGCATTTGTAGAACATGAATGCCAATAGATTAAGACCACTGCTATAAAGAACAAAAAACCCAAACCCTAGGAGAAGCTTTTTTTTCTGAGCCTAGACTATCATTTTAATAAATACGTTCATGGATTAACCATCCCTAGTTTACCTTTTATCATCTAGAAGAAATTACAAAACTGAAAGATCTGTGCCCACAGAGGAAGACAGTTTCACAAACGTGGTTCGTGGTTTTGCTTTGAACAAGAGATTGCTTGTTTCATTTATTCATCTCAGTATTGAATTCTGAATAATCACCTCAACAGAACTCTGATTTTCTTAATCCTAGCTTCGTGTTTCTGTATGCACATGTATCTACAATACACATATTACAACTAAACCCATGGTGTTGAGTTGGCATCTTGACCGCTTTAAGTCATACAGCACCAAACACAGGCATTAAAATGGCAATATTCCAGCAGGTAATCGTGTGGCAGCTTCTTTTTCAAGAACGGTTGAAGACGAAGTTCCTTGGCTTACCTCATAGGCATTCTTGATGTTGAGAGGCTGCCCTATGGCTGCCACATGACCCACAATGCCCTTGTTCCACTCCAGGCGAATGCAGTTGTTGGAAGCTTCTTCCAGGGTGGATCCTTCTGCCACATCAAACAGCCTGCTCACGAGAAACTTCTCGTTGGAGCTGTCCTCACACACCAGGAACAGGGAATAGCGATCGGCCGCGATCAGCTCGTGGATGTGCAGGAAGATCTTATGGCAAAGTGCTGTGACATCTAAGTGACTAGAAATATCTTTCACAAGTTCTAATAGTCTTGAGCACTGATCCCCTGCACTGGTCTCAATCCTTGGAGATTGCAGAGGCATCTGTTCCTTCTTGTCAGAGCCAGAGAGGAAGCTCACTGCTCCTACCGAGTCCTTGACAAAAATAGGCCTTAAGGGTCTGTCGAATTCAGAGGCGGAGATTTTCCTCGCTGGTGTCCCAGAGCTGGTGGTCTCGGCACAGGCAGGCTGGTGACAGGCACAGGCTTCGCTCTGGGACTTGGTTCCCTCCTTGCAGACTGGGATCGTGTGAACTCTCTCAGCAAACCATGCATTAACCATTTCTCTGTGAAACAAAAGCAAAAACACCAATGACGTGAATTGAAAATCCTCTAGCGCATATAGGAAGCTGACACTGGGAGAGGGGAACTAAACCTTTTACGCTGTGGCTTTCAGAAGTTTACACCATCATTTTGTGACTGAAAAGTTCCAAACATTTCCATTCCTAAGATTTGTATTTCTGTGTAAGAAATATATATATATTAATTTCAAGATAAAACTTTGTTTCTAACCTCTAAAAATAATTTTGAGCTTTAATTCTGTCAGTCAATCACCTGCAGCCCTTCCTATTTTTCTGTTGCCAATAAACTATTTTTAAGTTAAACTTCCTCTGCCCTCCAAGTAATTAAAAAATGCTGATTGGAATCAAAGCATCAAAGTTTTGCTTAAAAACCGTGAAAGAAACATGACTATTACCAATTCAACCCCCTTCAAAATAAGGGAAGAACAGACCGTTTTCATGCATCTCTCATATTTCTTTTCCTTGCAGATGATACTCATTGCCTAACTCAACTCCAAATACTGAATAACCCTAAAATTGCATTTTTAAGAGCTCATCACCAATAAAAAAATGCCATGCATCTCTAGTATTTAACTGTGCTTCTCAAATTAACTTAGCACTCAAAAGCCAACCCTAATAACATCCTCTCTGAAAACAGCATATCATCATAACATGAGTATACTTCGTTAATCACTATAATATTTTCTTGTCCAAAATCAGAGGGGTTTTTCTTCGGTTTCTTTTTGTCTTTTTTTTTGGTTGGTTTTCTTTAAATACAGGACTTTTTATTTCATTTGCTCAGTGTCGAGGATTCCTCACAGAGCACATGCTCTACTCTCAGAAGAAATGGGTTTTTGCTGTATTACATAACATCCGAGCCTAGGAACAGAAAAAATCCTATTAACAAGTCTGATCTTTTGGAAACCTTTCATGGTGGTCATGTTTTAAATTTGGGATATTTCTTATTTGCTCAGCAGACCACAGGAATTCTGAGAGTGAAGCTGAATGAAGCCATGGAACTGAGTCAGGTTAGTCAGCCGCCGATCAGTTACACGAGTCGGTGTAAGTTACAAATGAAAAGCACTGTACAATAGTCTTATTTTCCTTACAGCATACCTTGATCTTTGCTGTAGGATGCAATGCTGCAAGCACAAATAACCCTTAACTCAAAGCAAAATGAGCAATTAACATCTCAAGTCCAACAATATTATTTTTAATAGCAAGCCATCCACAAAAGGAAACTCATTTGACTCCTGTTGGGAAGGCTTGAAAGTTTTTTCAAGCGCATATCATTTGGAGAGCTCAACTGTAGGCAAACATGCTATAAAGAACTGCATTATTAAAAACCAATGATCCTCCTTTATTAAAGCAGTAATGCCTATTTTTTTGTGCAGTAGCCTCATCCAAGTGTTTCTTGCAGTGAAGCAAAGAACAAGTAATATATAATTAGAAATTTGACTTTAACAATATTACCTTCCAGTACTTAAACAGGATCAACATTAAATGGAGGAGCTGTGACCATTTATTACTGCAATGCGTAATATGATTAGCATAGGACAGTGTCACATTAGCAAAAGCTGTTTCACTGAGAGTCAAAATAAGAAGCCAGCATTTGGTAACACTTGGAATCTTCATTTATTAGCTCAAATGAGAAAGAATAAAAATTTTCAATTAAAATTACCAAAAATATTCTTAAGAAAATGAAAAAGCCACAGAAACAAAATATGTATGTAAACACAGTACAACGTCTAAAGTCAGTGCTGCTAACTCTCGTTAGCAGATGTGTTATACATGGGTCCCTTTTGTTTCACTCTGATCCCCTCCAAGTAAAAAATTACCTGGGAATTTTAGCTTCTCCAAAAACAAAACTACCATATAGCACTAAAGCTGCAGAAAAGAACCTGCAAATGCCAGCTGGAGGCATTTAAATCTCAGACACACAAAGGTAGATATAGAAAAATTGATAGTTTTAAAAAAGATTGGTGACTTGACCCAGATTCACGTGTGTGCTGACTTTGTTTCTGAGTACTGAGGACTGGCATTAAGGTAAGGAAGGTAAGATTGAAAAGTAGCAGTAATAACATGGTACCAGATGGAGGGTGTTCTCCAACGACTGATGAGGCCCAGAAGCTGTGTAATTGCAAAGGCACATGTTTGAAGGCATGTTTGGAAGTGAACCTGCGCTGTCGTTGGGCAACAGCAATTTGCAGAGCAAACTGATTCGCTCTTACTCCTGAGGAAAAGAGAATATCAAAACCTATCCTTTTCCCTTCTCCTTACTTGCACTGAACTTACATACATGGATGTGTTGATACAAGATGCAAGGCAGAGAAAGAATCCATTACCCTTCACGCATAAAGAAAAAGCTACAGCAGAAATTTGATCTATCACCAGAAACGTGTTATTTGATTTATTCTGCAGAATCATGTTATTATTTCCCTAGGCCTTAATGGTGTAGCAATAGCAATCAGTAAGAACAATGTACTCTGAATGCTAATACCTGTTCTCAAGCTGTGGCCATAAGATTAATAATCTTTCACCCTCTTGCTTTTTTACTGTGTAAAATAAGCACGCATTTCTTATAGAGGTTATTGAGAGATGTGGAACACAGCTGTAAAACCTTTCACGTGAAAGGAATAATGTTGAATAAGAACCGACTACTTGTTGGGTATCAGCCCTGTTTATGAAACACTTAAACATTGTACAGAACTACATGTGGAGCTGCATAATTATGAGTAACATATTCCTGTCCTTTAATTTCTCTTGGGTGATGGTTCAATCGTTTGCCAACATAGTGCGTGATTCTCAGAAAGCTCTTTAGATTAACAACAACAACAAATCCTTAACTAAACTGGTTAAAGCATGGTTTTCAACTTCCAGCCTTCTAAGCATTTTACTTTGGGCAACAGGAAAGCCATTCAAATTCAACTGGAAAAAGAACAGTGTTCAGTGACCTTTACCAAATGCCTCTTCTAACAAGGAAACTATTTAGCTCCTTTTCCTCACCCAGTTACACACAGGGTGGGAGAACCAGCATTTCGCATGAGCTGACGTATCCTAACTCTATTTAAAATCTCTCGGTGTCTTGACATGTGCTTGCTTGTTGACACTCAGTCCTATTTAACAATGCATGACAAGAAGGGTATTATGACTAACACAAGTACTCTCACAGCACAGAATTAGCTCAGCAGATATCTGACACCAGACACATCCTGAGCCACGAGTGAGGCTCCTGGAAATTTGCAATGAGTGCCATGTACAATTAAGACATCATTTTGAAAGCAGGAAGAAACCAACACTTGTGACTACTCATATGAACGGTCTTCAAGAGGCACTGGCGTTGTCAAGAGCTGATTGTAAGGACGAGACCCTGGCTGTAGTTTGGAAGTTGCAGGAGCAGATACTGATCCACAGTGATCCATGCATACAATTAAACTCAATGCAGTGTCTCTATCCCATCATGGCAGTCACTGTGAGCTGAGGAGTTACAGCACACCTATTCCTCATGGCCAGGATGCATCCTTGAATGCAGTATGATCCTTCACTCAAGAAAGATATCATTTCTCCCAGAGCTCATGAACAGGAATAGTAGAAGATGAAGTTACCATTTTTTACTCACTCCTATCAGCCAAATCCAATCTTTGCTCTATAAAACATGACAGTAGTGACTGCTGAATTTGGCTGGTGACTTCAGCAGATGACAAAACTGGAGAGGAATTTTGAAATGATAATACTAACAAGGGGATAAAAATGCAATGGCAGGCAAAACGTTGAAGAAAAAAAAAAAAGAAAAAAGATGGTGTGATTCACCCCTCTACCACTTCTTATATACAAGCACACGTAGTCTGCAGTACACGAGACTGTGTGAGCTTCAGAGGAATTAAACTCTTTGGCCTCAATCTGTTAAATGCTACACACAAAGTAGACCTAGAGCAAGAAGTTTTCGATATTAATAGGCAATAAAAATAGAAAATCAATGGTCGAGAAAACACAGGCACAAGGAAGCAACATGCCTTGAAGCAGGTCATGCAGGAGGGTATGTGTAGAGCTGAAGAGAACCTTGCTGCATTTCCTGAGCTGCATGCATCAAACCATACTGACACAACACTAATCACTATGCTACTCATACACTGGGAATATTAAATAGTTTATTGTACCCATCTTCGCTTCATTGTGATTATCTTCAGAGTTCACAGCAGACTTCTCAAAAAGAAAAGCCAACAACCCAATCCAGTGAAGATGTTAAAGTATGAACAGCCAGGTTGTGATTGCCTTGCTTACATATAGCCACACTGCCTATGTAAAAACACACCAATGTGACCATTCAGCACAACTTCATGGGACCTTTGGAGAAAACATATAAAAACCAGAATGCAAAGGCAACACTGAGATGCAACAATGACAGTACAAACTGCATGTTGCTTACATTGCACGAACTGCCTAACACTTGCAGTTCCATAACAGAACACAGAAATAAGTAGTTTTCAGTGAAACAGCAGATAATCCTCTGTTTCCTCTGTTGCTCACAAACCATTCATATCAACTATTATGTTTTAGTGGTCACGTGGACTGTTCTGCTGATTTTTCATTCAAACCAGAAGTTATTGGTAGCACACCTCAGGAGAGGGATTACAAACTTGCCTACTAGAAAATGCCAGCTTTCAAGCGTCTGAATTCCTGTAGCCTAATCCTGACAATGTTGAAATCAACAATATTTCAAGCTTAACTTGATAACTTTTTTCAATTGCCTTCCATAAAATAACCACTAGATGTCTTCAAATTTCTCTCCAGTATCTTGACATAATTTAGACACAGAAATCATTTAAAGCATTAGCCAAAACTCCAAAACTATTCAGTTTTAGCAAAGGAGTTTGAAATGCAAAACCACTTAGATATTATACTTGCCTTCCTGTTTTCTTTCTAGTACTTCCTATTTCACAATCACATTCTAAGTGGTTTTGTCTTTTTTCTACCAATGGAAAGATTTAAATAAATTGTATAAGGCC